TTCCGATTCCCACCTAACAACAGTAATTGAACGTTGCGCAATATCATCAGCAGATGCTCAACCAGAGCGAATTAAAATAAAAATATGAGGCCCTTCAACAGTATGTTTGATTAGACATTTTATAAATATTTAGTTTTGTGCCATACATAATGGTTCAACACAGTGCCTATTAGATATTTTATCTGACGACTGCTGTAACATTTATGTGCAGCACGAAACTAAATAGTACTAAAATATCCAATCAATACCTATTGTTGAAAGTGCTTTAATACGTAACATATCACACGATAAATGTAACACGATGTACACTCCAAATAGACTGATTTAATATTTCTTTACTTAGACCTTATAAAACATCGCCATGACGTTAATCTTTATAAAATAATTAATCGTTATTCCATCATTAAAATAAATGTCAACAAATTATTTTTATTCGAATATTCTGTTAGCATCGTAAAATCGCACAAGAAAAAAAAAAGAAAAAAAAACACGTCTCTGACTTGCCACGCAGTGAAGAAAATTAAATTTTGAAAAACTAAAAAATGTACCATATTGAATTGAGATTTTCTGTTCAGTTATCAGAGCATTTAACAGTCAACAGTCATTGTTCAACATCTGTTTTGTTAAGTCAATGTTTAAAAAAATAACTAAAATGCAGCTGTTTTCTAATGAAACCTGAGTTTTAACATATTGTTCATTTTGTTATGCAGTAGTTTATAGCTGCGGTAGGGAAAATTTCATTTTGGAAATTCTCGCACCACTGGGGTTTATCACCTTCCTTTCCGTACCCCCTTCCCCCACCCACCCTCTGTACGCGTAACGTAGGCCTACATATTGAAAAGGTCCAAAAATATGCGATTGTCTAACAAAGACAGGCACGACTGTTAGATCGATGCACAGTTGAATCATGGACCTTTTAACTATTAATAAGTCCATCGTAGAAACAGGGAGCGCTCAATTCCCGATGATTGCGTCGGGGACAGCTACGCAGTGTAAGAATTGCAGTGAAAACACTGTAGCGACTGTGTAGCGATTCTATGGAAACCAAACTTCAGCTGGGCTGAGCGTAAACGGTCCGTTGTCAACACATAACCCTTAAATTAATTGACTATCGGATGTGAACTATTAAACACTCACAAGTAAAGAAAACAAGACATAGGCCTATACATCGTGAACTAAGTTATAATTCTTATTTTATTGGCCTGCATTCTTTGGTATAACATATTGCAGGGATTAGTAATACAATGATTTACTCATTTTTTTTAAAAGAACAATGGTAAAATATAATAGATATTAATATACTGCAAAATAATTAAGAAGACATTTTTGTAATTTCACACAAAAAGCGAATACACTAAATGGAATATTAAAAGCATGCATACTTATTGTGTTTCTTCAGAACGCTTTAATTCTATAAAAATGACAGAATGTAAATTTTTGTTTATTAGTGGCTAGGAAATGTTTGCATATTTATTTACATTATAAATAATGTTAGAATGGCACTAAGTTGTGTAGAATCCGCCATCATGCTTTCTTGAGTAGCCATTATTGGTTTGTGCGCTGTGATGGCTTTCGATGGCCCCTTCAACACTGTGTAAACTCTCCCTCTTTGGATTAAGGATTTCGATTGTGCGTAGTGGAGGTGACATGGGGTCAAAGTTTTTCTCTTCTTCCACGACTCTGTTCTTCAGAATACGTCTGTAATAAACGAAAAGCCAATGCATTATTTTATTTGTTGGCATTTTAAATAAAATTGCTGTTAAATGAATAAATTAATAACAATTAACAATACCCCCAATTTTCGTCATCGTCCTCCTTATCATCCTCAGCATTAGTATTATCATCATCTTTGTCATCATCATCGTACATCTTCGTTATCATCGTCGTTTTCGTCATCATCATTATAATAATAATCTATCATCATCATCATCATCATCATCATCATCATTTTTATTATCGTATTCATTATCGAAATCGAAAATATCATCTTATCATTTTTATCATTATATTATAATACTGTAATATATTTTTGATTATATATTTCAATGAAAATGAAACACATTTAAATCTTACCCATGATCTTCCGTGAATGTTTCTGATTGGTGAAGTGTTTCAGTTCTGTTGCTCAGAAACTGGCCATGGTGGTCATAGTGAGCCTTCAGAATAAAATCTAAGCTGTCTTGTGGTGCCTAAAGATAAAGCAAATATACATAATTAATGATTAAATAAACTGCCTGTATTTCCGCCCTTGCTTCGAACCTATCGAAAGAGAAGCGTTTGAGATGCGTTTATGGCTGGGATTTTAAATATATTTGGGAGGTCCAGGTATTGTGCAGTGGAGTGGTGGATCCAGGAATTCAAAATAGAGGGGGCCCGGGGGAGGTACGCCACTGTTATGTACAATGAGTTTATGGCTTTTTCATACAGTACATGTTTAAGATGCGAATATGGGTGACGAGTGTGTGTATTTAGGAAATTTTATTAGTTTTTTTTTTAGGTCTGTATGAATCTTCTTCTCGCGAATGCATTACTACAAATCATCGATTTACATTCGCAGGTATAAAGCATAAGTTTCACACAGGGGTTAGGGTTATTTCCCCTGTATGAATGAATATTTAGGATGGGTAGGCCTATTTATGTGTGTTTTTTAAAGGCTTATCTATGGAATTTAAATACTACACATTTATCTTACCTTTGGGTCGTGGTGATACACCTCACGTCTTGCGCTGGCTAGAGTAGGTGTTGAGTTCAGTCTATTCCAAGGATCTTTTCTTTGAGCAATGTGTGTTGGATCACCGTATGGTTTTTTCTAAAATATAATGACACCTTCTTAGACAGATGTAAATGATGATTAATGAAAAAATACTAGGGGAAAAAGAGTGTTAGGAAGGGGGCGGAGAGTCAGATGCCATTAACAGGGCCTATTGCATGTAATGGCCCGTAACAGGGCCTATGTAATAAGGGTTCTAATGTATTAGAAACTAAGTATAAATTAATATTTTCGACGAAAGGTCGAAGGTCCTCAAGAAGACCCCCAAGATCCCTGACAGAAGTAGGCCTTCATGGTTGTAGCAAATTTTAAGAATAGACAGGTAGGAGGGGGGGGGGGGAGATTTTCTGAACGGAGTCATTTTGTTCCTTAACCCCCCACCCCCACTTGCTGGTGTTGCTACTAAATCACGTTGTATTGTATCAGCAACAAGGGAGTATGTGTGGACTTGTATAAAGTCCTAGTACTAGACATTGGACTAACTAGTATTAGCTTAGCAAATACCACCTTTGTTTAATATAAGTGCACATAAAATACAGGTGAACAAAGGGCAGCTTTTGTGTAATGCTGAACAGCTGTGAAATATTCCTAATCAGTGATCAATTCTTGTCCTGCCACCAGGAACAATAGGAACAGTTTTCATACATCTATCCAATACACCAACCATGGCTATTGTAAAACCGATACGAGATTTGGTAATACCGAAGAGGTACCATAATAAAAGATTGCTCGTCACATGCAAATTACCTGTACTGTATATCTATTATCCAACCATCCTAAACTAATCCCTTCTTAGGATTGATTCGGTCGTCTCGATTCTATCCGTTCATTTTGGCCTTTCGTTATCTTTTTCGTTCTTACCTTTTTTTTCTTTTTTTTTTCTCGTTTTTTTTTTAATCGCACATGGAAGTGTGTTTGTTCATGGGTAATTGATGTACAGTAACACATTCATGTTTGTATTTCGTATTTTAGGATAAACAATGAGAAAACCTTTTCTGTTTACAATAACATCCATAATAAGCAGTTCGAAAAACCACGTTTGGGACCCGTAAGTGGTCTCGTGGTTTGATGGGTTTACTTAGTAATTTTAACAGATTGTCTCTGTTGTTAGGCCTATTTGGTGCTTTTTTTTAAAAAGTGGTCTCGGAATAGAGAGTTCTATGAATTAGTATGCATATAGGCCTAGATGATAGAGGGGTGTTATTGGAGGGTGCATTTGTATAATTATAACAAAAATGAGTTCGTCGGGCAAATCTGACCCCTCGTCGGGGGAATCGCACCCCCCCCCCCCCCCATCGAAAATCAAGTTAAATCACACTCACAGATCACAATTTACCATAGTATTGCTGAGGTGTGCCAAGGCTGTCTCTTATGGCCTAAGCCCTCCCTCCTAGGCCGATTTTTGACTCTTGCCGACTTACCTGTACTTTATTTGTGCCTACAAAATCTTCATCATTTTGAATTTGTGGGAATGGGTATGGGTTCCTGTTAGATAACTCCATCATATGACTCATATTTAATCAAGATGTAAGAGAAAGAGTTGTGTGGTAGTATTATTCTAGTAACAAATACAGACTTCGTCTAGAGAGAGCAATATCTCGCGCGTGGAAAGACCGTGTGAATGTACCAGATGTGAAGACACAGCGTTCGCTGCTTAGCAACTGCAGTACGTTGTGCACCAGTCGTCTTTTGTGTGATCGCAGCGTATGGTCAGTTGCGGCTAAAATATATTGGGGGCGCTGTGTTTCTAGTGGATTTTTAATATTTTGCGTATCGTCAATCATCAATCGTAGGCCTATGTTTGTGTGGTGTTATCGCATGAGAAAGGAGCTTGGATGCGTACTTTTCATTATTTTTAAAAATCCATCTATTGTCTAAGACAAAGAGTATCGTTTGTATTTGTGGAATTTCAGATTACGAGATTCACCTGCCAGTATTAACTATACGAACGAGATGGCTTCGCAAAGTCAAAGAAGAAGTCACCGCATTGCAGGGTTTCGTGGCTGTATTCCAGCTGTTGTGATTTTTGTTTTCACACTGCAGTGCATTCATCAATGTAGTAGTAGTCCATCATCAAAGAAGAAGGTATCTTCTCCAGCCTCTACAACAACAGGTGATGCTGGTGGTTCACCTGCGAAGCAAACTTTACCAACTTGTCAACTGGTACGGTATTCAAATTTAAATATTTAGACATTTAACCAAAAGTTCAGCAGTAGTATAAAATCAGGTCTTCATCCAGGCCATATGGACATCTTGTGGGCCTTTTTTTGTCTGAGTTTTGAGAGAAAATCATCATCTTGTCGTACAATGTCATTGTCATATGAGTGAATGTAATGTAGGCCTAGTTACCCAAAGGGTCACTTCGTCTTTGTTTTTGAGCTACCTGTACAGTACCCGGTATCCATCCACCGGTACCACTACCAGCTACAGGACTTCGTAACTTCTTTGTAATAAATGAAATTAATATCACCTTCTTTGGAGCTATAATCTTTTTGATTAAACACATGTCGGCCACTATCAGGTTTAGTTAGCCACCTGTGACCCACATTTATTTCTTTGACCAAGTGCAGTTTAGGCTGCTGGAAGTACATACTGTACATGGTTCTCCTGAGGTGATGGATTTGTTGTCAACTTTGATTATTTATCACAGTATTTTTCACAGAATTCAATAACGTAGGTCAAAGATCACGTGTCTAGAATTAAAAGCATGGATGTATGGTGGTCCGCGATGATACACATTCTGTGATCGATTTTGCTGCGACATACTATACACAATAGTTTGAGTGCATTTCACAGTGAGGTGATTCGGATTTTCAGCCTGTACTTTTTGACTATAATACCTCAGTGTTTTTTTTTAAGACACAAATATAAATTTTTTTGATGCGGGGCTTAAAATCATGAGAAGGCGGCTGGCAAGAAACATGTAATGTATTTACAGTGGCCTTAAAGTCATTTAATATTTCCTCCAATTAGTAAGCTCGCAGCATACAGTATTATTCATGGCATACTGTAGTAATCATTTCAGATCCATTAATGGTGGGTTAAATATCACTCTTAAAAATGCATTATTGATTTGAGCAAGTTTGTTCTGACGGACACACTAAAGACAAACAGAGAAATATTGGCAGAACATCTCCGCACTTAATTGTGACTGCTAGCACTTGACTTAATATAATTAAAATAATATATGCAGTGAATTGGTACAAGTTTAATAATATTCCACGTTCCCCTCTCCCACCTTCAGTTTGTATCTCACTACGTACAGTAGCCTACAGTTACAAGTACTGTATGGACTATGGGTTAAATATCACTCTTAAAAATGCATTATTGATTTGAGCAAGTTTGTTCTGACGGACACACTAAAGACAACAGAGAAATATTGGCAGAACATCTCCGCACTTAATTGTGACTGCTAGCACTTGACTTTAATAATTAAAATATGTGCAGTGAATTGGTACAAGTTTAATAATATTCGACGTTCCTCTCTCCCACCTTCAGTTTGTATCTCACTACGTAGAGTAGCCTACAGTTACAAGTACTGTATGGACTATGGGTTAAATATCACTCTTAAAATGCATTATTGATTTGAGCAAGTTTGTTCTGACGGACACACTAATGACAAACAGAGAAATATTGGCAGAACATCTCCGCACTTAATTGTGACTGCTAGCACTTGACTTAATTAGAATATGTGCAGTGAATTGGTACAAGTTTAATAATATTCCACGTTCCCCTCTCCCACCTTCAGTTTGTATCTCACTATGTACAGTAGCCTACAGTTACAAGTACTGTATGGACTATGGGTTAAATATCACTCTTAAAAATGCATTATTGATTTGAGCAAGTTTGTTCTGACGGACACACTAAAGAGAAATATTGGCAGAACATCTCTGCACTTAATTGTGACTGCCAGCACTTGACTTAATATAATTAAAATATGTGCAGTGAATTGGTACAAGTTTAATAATATTCCACGTTCCCCTCTCCCACCTTCAGTTTGTATCTCACTACGTACAGTAGCCTACAGTTACAAGTACTGTATGGACTACACACATACCTGTACACTGTAAGTCCTGTACATGTTTGTTAGTCTGTCCATTAATGGTGGGTTGAATGGCAATCTTAAAAATGTATTTACAGTATTGATTTGGGCAACTTTGTTCTGACTGAGGCACTACTTAGACAAACAGGAAAATATTATATTAGCGGAATAGCTTTGCTCTTAATGACACTAATTTTGGCTGCTAGTGAACTTGACTTAATCAAAATAATGTGCAGTGAATATTAATGGTACAAATTTTGGTTAACTATATTATTAAAATCAATAGGAAGCAGATTTATTACATATTTCAGTTTTCATATTTCGGTTTTTACATGCTAGTATCCCAAAAAAATCATTTCAGACTGTTAGGTAGTACTGTAATATTAAAACTTTAAAAATAAATACAAAATATTAAAAATAATTATTAAATATAATTTTTTACCCTGCGTATTATTAATGTGTAATTTTCTTTTTATTTATTTTTACACAGTTAGTAATATAACATATTCTGGTTTTATGGGTAAAGAAAATGTGTATTTTTCTTTTTATTTTTACCCTTTAGTATTTAAACGCAACACAGTCTAGTATTAAAAATTCCAAAAATATGATAAATACAAAATGTTATCCAATCGAAAATCAAGTTAAATCACACTCACGGATCACAATTTACCATAGTATTGCTGAGGTGTGCCAAGGTGCGCCTATGCCAGGAAATAGAATATCATAGATGTATGGTTTTGATTCGATTCATATTGTGATGTAGGAGAATGCCTACAGTAAATACAGATTTTTATGATGATAATTTATAAGGCCTGATAAAATGTTCCATACAATTGCTACAATCTTTATATACGAAATTATATGCTTCAAGTTTTGCCAGCAATTTGTAATAATTTTTTAGATGTCTATAAATTAATAAAAATTGATATATTTTTTTTGAAGTGTAATTCTTTAAAAATTAACTCTTTGAAAACCATGGAAAATTATCATTCATCCACAGTAGATTAAAAAAGAAATATCAGTAATATTGTAGTCATGATTTAACTAAGTACTTTTTTCTTTTTTATCAAATTAATTTTATTATTGTTAAAAGTAAGCCTATTGTATGTTTTCTAAAGCTTTACTGTAGTAAAAGGTAATTGATAGTGGGGAACTGTAAAACATTGAAATATTTACCACAATTCCATCAATCATTAAAAAAAATTAAAATAAAAAAAATTAAAATAAAAAAAATTATTATTTACAAAAAATATATCTTAAAATATTTCTAGCCATATATTTTATAATAAATCTGTTGACAGTATCCATAATAATACTCTGTACTGGAGGTTGTATATTCGGACAGATATTGTATCGCAGGGTTAAAGGTCATAAACATAAGAACAAAAGGAGCACAATACTCATTTTATTGCTTCAAGGATCAATGAATATTTACAGTACAGTATAACAGAAAATTACAATTGTTATTTTGGTAAATGTCACATTTTTGTTATTCTGTACATTTTAAAGAAATAATCTGGAACTTTTTAATAGAGCTAATCTCAAATATCATTAAAAAGTACTTAAAAAGTAGTAAATAAATGGGAAATGCCTTTCTAGTCTACAGTACAGGTAGCTGTAAGATATTAAATTATTTCTCCTGTGTAGATCTCTTTTAAAAAAATCTAGAATTATTACATAAAAAAAAAATAGTTCAGTTATTTATCCATTGACATGCAGAGAAACTAGTAAATTTTGGGCCCTTCAGGGTTGTAGCAATGGAAAACTAAGGGTGGCAGACCTTTTTATTGTGGGTGGGTGATAATTGGTAAACTCTAAATAATAAGATTGAATTTTATGGATGGGCAGGGGGGTAATAAAAGTGCTTGAAGGGCCATGAAATTCGCTTTAGACTGGGTCTAACACTTAAGGCTGGGTGGCCCCACCCATCTCTGCCCACCATAACTACATCCCTGGTCTCTTTATTTTACACTTTTTGAGACATTTTTAGAACATACATGTACTGTACTGTAAGTTACAGCTTTGATGATGATCCAACATTTGGTTGCCGACCGATAGAGGCTTGACATGTTTTGTTAGTGGCCCGGATGGAAAGGGGT